AATTCACTCACCTCAGCCTCCCAAAGGCACGGGATTACAGGCTGAGCCACCGAGCCCGGCTCAAGAATACCTTTTAGGGGGACTGAGGGCTCAGTACCCTTTCTCAAGTCCTAGTATGTGCACTCAGGTGGAACTGAAGGCCCTATTCTGCTATTGTTAACAGTCAGTCCCTCCAAAGAATTACCCTCCAAGGTACAAATAGGGTGCATCCACCAGGCCCAGCTTCAAAACAAGACCCCAGATCCTTCCCAGCCAAGGCTGTGGGGTGCAGGAGCCCGTCCTGGTCCTATCTGTAAAACTCTCTCAGGTTTTGGTTCTGGGTTTGGTCCTCCCTCCTTCAACCTAGTAAGAGAGGCTAGAGTAAGGGCAGTCACATAGTCTCCCCAGCAGAGATGCAGCACCACCCGCCAGCATGGGGGACTCTGGATGGGTCCACACCCTGCAGTGCAAAAGTAAGATTTGCTGGAGTTCCTGTGCCTGCCCCTCTCCCGCCCCCCTCTCCCTCCCCTAACTTGCTGTCATCGAAGCTACTGCCCACAAGGCAGCTGAAGTACTGTGTGGCCCAACTGGTGAGGAAGGACTGGGGCTGGAGTCCTGAGGACCCATCAAACCTCCGGTTGAGAACCTCCTCCCCTGACCTCCAGCCGGCCATCCCAGCTGGCTCCTGGGAACTGAGGTGGAGGCTGAGATTGGCATTACCTCTCCCCACAGTGCCCCAGCTGTGGAGGGACAGGTGAGATACTGGAGTCCTTGGAGGTGGCCCTCATCCAGCTTATTCCCTTTGACTGGTGTGCAGAGCTGTCTAGAGCTGAAGGGTCTCTGTTGCTTCTTCCTCCTTTGGCTTGTCGCCACCAGCTTCTGGACCATCGCCTGGGGCACCCTCCTGCCTTGAGGTCCAACAGGGAGGGATCATCCCTACTATTCCCTCCCTTGTGCCCATTCGACTCCAGCCTGGCAGCCGTCTCCAGCCGGTCCCGGCTGCCTGCCCGGTCACCGGATCCACCCTGTAAACTCTACAGCGGCAAGCGGGGCGGTGGCTGGCCTGGTGGGGGCGGGGGCTGTTCCTTAAAGGAGCCGTCAGAGGGTGCCCTGCGGCCCTTAGACTTCTCCCCTTCCCCAGGGTGAGAAGGGGCCAGGTTGGGGAGGTGCAATTGCTGGAGTTCTTGGTGAAGTATGGGAAGGCAGCCGGGGATTGGCTTCGCAGACTTCTAGACTGAGAAGAGGCAGTGGCAAGTGTCAGTGGAGGGAAGGACGGAGGTCGGGGGGTGTCCTAGCATGGGAAGGGTCCAGGGTCTGGGAAGCTGGGCAGGCGTGTGGGTGGAGGGTGAAACCTGCCCCAGCAGCTGCTCCCTTTGCTTAATCCTACTTCTGGACCTTGCCCCACCCCCAGGGTGCCAGCGCGTGGCACCTGCCTAGCCAGCTCCTAAGAAGGAGGGTGGGCGTAGCAGCCAGAGCCTCGCCCCATCTGATGGCTCCAGGGAAGGTGTCTGGTTCATAGGGTGGAGGGGCTCAAAGATGGGGAAACCCTGAAGGGCAAAAGAAGTGGAGGGAGGAGCTCAGGGAGACTGGAGGCTCTGAGAGGAAAGGACAGCTCAGATCAGGAGTCTGGGGATGAGAGTGAAAGACTGCCTTACTCTGCCTCCCCACCCTCATGATTCCTCTGGGGTGAGGAGAGGGAGCAGTCAAGGGCAAACACTGGGGCTGCTCTCTCTGTCTTGGGAGCAGTCTCTAGCTCAGAAGCTGAGGTGTCTGCCCAGGTCTGAGTGTCCTGAGTAGTACTTCACCCTCTGAGGAATAGGTTTCACTGGGGTCTCAGAATTGAAGAGAGTGACTGATCTGCAGTTATTTGCTCTCTTGCCTGCCCACAAGACACGCACACACTTGTGTGTTGCACACACATTTGCACATGCACAAATATGCAACACATGTACACTAACACACACATACACACACACTGTGTAGATTGCAAAGTGTCATATGTGCACACATATTTGGGCACCCAACCCATGTCTACATACGTGCAATACAGCACACAGACATGTGCACATGTGCATACACACTACACACGTGCACATTCACAAAGGGGCCTTCAGAAACCATTCACATTCACAGGCACCCACACCCTTGGCTCCAGCCCCAGAAGCGCCTGTGTTTCTCTGTGGGTCCTCGGGTGCATACCCCTCCAGAGGCCTGACCCCTCCGGTCATTCTGTTGACCGACTTGCTTCCCTCCCTCTTTGCACTTGGTGCCCTCTGCATTGATCCGACTTCTTGTTGTCATTCTGTTCCCCTCCCACATGGAGACCTTGTCTGTCTCCCAGTATCCCTAGTCCCAGGCTGGCATGAAGTGGGCACACAGTGTGAATTTATGTCTGTGGCTGTGTATAAGGGAGGGGAGGCTCCTGAGGGGGGTGACGTGGTGGGGCGGGAGCCTGCCAGTGCAGGGTGACCCTGAGGGTGTGCCCAGAGTGGGTGTGTCTGCGATTGTGGCCAGGCGGGGCACCCTCCGAGGGGAGGGAGGGCTCGGAAGTGGAATGCGACCCCCCAGCCTCTTCCCCCAGGGGCTGTAATCTGATCCCTAGGGACTCCCCCCTAGCCTCCCGCCCTCACCCTCACAGCCAGCCGACTCCTGACTCCTTCTCTTCCAGATCCCGGGGCAGAGTCCAGGGCAACTCAAGGCTCCTCTACACACACCCGCTGAACCCTGAGCGCCCTGAGCTGCCGGGATGGGGCGGGCCAGGGCCGCCGCCATGATCCCAGGCCTGGCCCTGCTCTGGGCAGTGGGGCTGGGGGGTGTCACCTCCAGCCCCCCACGCCTTCGGCTCTCCTTCCAAGGTAGGTGCACCTGGCAGGCGGGAGGGCGCAGCTCAGGGTGGGCTAAAAAGGAGCCCAGTGTGGTTAGGGGGCTCTGTGTTGGCTATTGCCCCATATGTGTACCTATCACCAGACCTTGGTTGGACCGAGGGACACTCTCAGGCCACCTCCAGTTAACCCTGTCCTGGCCTCAGACCCCTACCTCTCTGTCCACATTCTCCTCGTGCTTTCCCAGGAAGAGCCCTCCTGTCTCCATAGCAACAGACCCTGTCTCTGTCCCATCTTGGTACCCCCAACAAGGCCAAACTCCTTTGGCAGTGCAACAGGGAAGTCAGGTTTGGGGGTCATCAGAGGCCCATTCTATGCCTGCTGGACAGGAGGGTGGTTACCAGGCAGTGGCATTGGGTAGGCAGTTCTGGTGAGCTCAGGCTGGTGGTAGGGTGGCAGAGAAGGAACTCTCAGCTTGACTTTTTTGGGGCTGGTGTTCTGGCCATCCCAATATGCCCAGCCTCCCCTAGAACTCTAGTGTCCATAAGCCTGGCTTCCCAGTGCACCCACCTGGAGACAACACTTGTCTGAGCACGCCCGAGTTCAACTTGCTTTCCCCTTTCTAAGGGGGTGCATCACCCACCCTGGCAGCTCTGCATATGCACTTGGGTGGGCCTGTGCATGTAAGCTCACAGACATGTAAACTCACATATGTGTGAGCCAGGTCCCAAGTACAACCTTGCCCTATAGAGTGGCAATCAGGAAGGGTCTGGATGAGGCTTCCTGTGTGGCTGGTGTGTTCTCAGTGGTGTCCCTACTTTGCAGAGCTCCAGACCTGGCATGGTCTCCGGACCTTTAGGCTGGAGCGGACCTGCTGCTATGAAGCCTTGCTGGTGGATGAGGAGCGTGGACGCCTATTTGTGGGTGCCGAGAACCATGTGATCTCCCTCAGCCTGGATAACATCAGCAAGCGGGCCAAGAAGGTGCCAGGGGCTCCCCAATTCTAGCACTGACCAGGAAAAGAGTCCTAGAACCCCACTCCTGACTGCCTGGAGAGACCCAGGGGAATGGACCGCCAGAATGGCAAGACTCCCAAGATAGAGAATGTTTTAAGTTGCTGACCCGTGTTCCCCTTCCCCAACCTCCCCATAGCTGGCCTGGCCGGCCCCCGTGGAATGGCGAGAGGAATGCAACTGGGCAGGGAAGGACATTGGTGTGAGTGCTGGCTGCCCGGGCTTGGAGTGGGGAGGGTAGCCCCTCACCCCAGAGAGAGGGCAGTGCTAAAACAGAGGCCTGCCTGTTCTGGCTGGAGTGAGGGCAGGGAGGTCGAGGTGGCTGAGGTCTGGAGGTGGTGAGTCAGGGTGGGGGCTCATGTGATTCTTCTTGGGGGCCTCTGAGTCACGGGGGGCTGTGTAGGCATGCGCTTTCCCATTGCCTATCCTGGTGAGGGATGGGCTGGTCTGGTCATCACAGGCACCCAGGTTCTCATAGGCCATGTTAACACTTGCCTGGGCCAGTGCAGAAGAGAAGGAGGGATGATGATGCCACGGGTGAGCTGGGACCCCGTAAGGCCACCTCCCTGGGGAAAACCTATTGCCTCTGGCCCTGCCTGCCCACTAGACTGAGTGCATGAACTTCGTGAAGTTGCTGCATGCCTACAACCACACCCACTTGCTGGCCTGTGGCACAGGGGCCTTCCATCCAACCTGTGCATTTGTGGAGGTGGGCTACCAGCTTGAGGTAAGGCCAGATCTAGGCAAGGAGGGAGGTTGAGAGGGCAAGAAGGGGCCTGGCGAAACAATTCTCCCTGCCTTCCAGGAGCCCATGCTCCGGCTGGACCTGCGAAAGCTAGAGGATGGCAAGGGGAAGAGTCCTTATGATCCCAGGCACCGGGCTGCCTCCGTGCTGGTGGGTGAGTCCAAAAGCTTGAATCCCAGGGGAGATCCCAGAACCTCTCAGAAACTCCAGAACCACCACCGTTTGGTTAAGCACTGGTCAGGCCGTGTTTTCTTACCTTTGGCTCCCTCCCTTACCTTGGGGAGGTGAATCTCCTCTCTCTCACTCTCTAATTTGCTTTCTAAATAAACTTTGTTTGAAAATTTAAAAAAGAGCCAGGCTCGGTGGCTCAGCCTGTAATCCCGTGCCTTTGGGAGGCTGAGGTGAGTGGATTGCCTGA